TAAGTCCTCTTCACTTTCAGCAAGCAAGGTTGTATCATCTGCATATCGCAGGTTGTTAATGAGTCTTCCTCCAATCCTGATGCCACGTTCTTCTTCGTATAATCCAGCTACTCGGATTATCTGGTCAGCATACAGACTGGATAAATATGGTGAAAGAATGCAACCCTGGCGCACACCTTTCTTGATTTTAAACCATTCAGCGTCCCCTTGTTCTCTTGGTCTTTGTACAGGTTCCTCATGAGCACAATGAAGTGTTTTACAATATCCAGCCTTTGTTATCGTAGACTGTTACGATCCACACAATTGAAAGTCTTCACAAAGTCAATAAAGGCGCTCTGGTAGCGTAATGGTTACAAGTTGGGCTGTTCATCTCATGGTCCGCAGTTTGAAACTACCAGCAGCTTCTCAGGAGAAAGATGAGGCATTCTGCTCCCATAAAGATTTACAGTCCTGGAAACCCTATGCAGGGTCGCTATGAGTGGGAACCAATTCCACGGCACATAACCACCACCATGTAGTCATAAAGCATGAGTAAACATCTTTGTGGTCTTCTCCGCTTTCAACCAACATCCAGCTGACATCAGCAATGATATCCCTCGTTCTACATCCTCTGGTGATTCGGTTTGAACTGTCAGCAGCTTCCTCTCAGTGCACTGTTGCATCTTTCTTGTTTGAATTGTCTTTGGCAAAATTTTCTTGCGTGTGATATTAATAATGTTGTTTTGTAATTTCTGCATTCTACTGGGACACCTCTCTTCGGAATGGACACAAATAATGAGTTAGTCAGCCAGGTCCTTGATATTCCTTGGCCTAGACTAGCGCATGTTTCCTGCGCCGTCCTCAATCTGTTGTTGAAAGATTTCCATTTGTATTCTGACAACTTCTGGAGCCTTGTTCATCCCAGTGCCGTTGGTACAGCCGGGAGGTCTTCCTGCACTACATCAACTCTTTCTTTCTTTTTTTTTTTCAGTACATCAATTCTTGAAGTTAAGCTACCTCCTAAAATCGGTGAACATTGTCCCATTCTCTGGTGCAGTGATGCAGTGACAGCCGCCAGCATGCGCGCACATCTCTGGAAACTTCTCTGCCTGGGACCACCTCACCTACTCCAGCCTCAGAGGGATGAGCAACAAGTCCTTCACTGATCTAAGGTTTCATTTTTGTACTCTCTAGGATAAACACTGGACTACTAACCACGAGGTCGGGGGCCTTAGAAACCCTATACAGGGTCGGTCTGAGTCGTAATCAGCTTGACACAGTGCGTTTGATTGGCTTCTGGCTGGGGTCCTGAAACGCCCACAGAATGATTGGGTGGGACTTAGTAAAGATGGTGCCTTCACAGAGGGGGCAGGTCCTGTTCCCATCCCACTAGGTCCTGGTGCTATGGGATATACACTGGACTGTAACAGCAAGGTTGGTGGTTCAAGCCCACTAGTCGCTCTTTGGAGACCATATACAGGGCCACATTGGAACCAACTCAACAGCACTTAACAACTGTATCTGTTCCAACTCGACAGCACTTAATAACCACAACCTGGTCTTAACAACCACAACTCCGTCTATACTGGGGAAGAATGAGGCAGCCATCCGCTTCCATAAAGATGACTCAAAATTTCCACTTTGCTACATCGGGTCCAACTGACAGAGACCCTGTGGGACAGAGGAGAACTGCCCCAGAGCGTCCCAAGATTGTCAAATCTTTACGGATCCACACGGCGTCATCTTTCTTTCTTGTAGCACCTGGTGGATTTGAACCTCCGACCTTTCGACTAGCAGTTGTTGTTGTTGTTATGTGCCGT